TTGTATCCTGCAACCTTGCTATAATTGCTTATTCATTCCAGGGTTTTTGTTTTTGGTTTTTTTTTGTCGATTCTTTCAGACTTTTTTACATAGACAATCATGTCATCTGTGAACAAAGACAGTTTTATGTCTTCCTTCCCAAGCTGTTTACCTTTTCTTGCCTTATTGCATTAGCAAACACTTCCAAGTATGATGTTGAAAAGGACTGGTGAAAGGAAAGATCCTTGCATTGTACCTGATCTTAGTGGGAAAGCTTTAAGTTTCTCACCATTAAATATGATGTTAGCTGTAGGTTTTTTTTTTAGATATTCTTTATCAAGTTGAGGAAGATCCCCTCTATTCTTAGTTTACTGAGAGTTTTTATCATGAATGAGTGTTGGATTTTGTCAAAACCTTTTTTTGCTTCTATCGATATAATCATGTGATTTTTCTCTTTTAGCCTGTTGATGTGATAGATTTTATTAATTGATTTTTGAATTAACCAGCCTTGCATACCTAGAATAAATCCTACTTGGTTTTGGTGTATAATTCTTTCTATACATTGTTGGATTTCATTTGATAATATTTTGTTGAGGATTTTTGCATCTGTGTTCATAAAAGATATTGGTCTGTAATTTTCTTTTCTTGCAATATGTTTGTCTGGTTTGGGTATTAGAGTAATGCTGGCCTCGTGTAATGACTTAGGAAGTATTCCCTCTGTTTCTGTCTTCTGAAAGAGATTGTAGAGAATTGCTATAATTTCTTCCTTAAATGTTCAATAGAATTTACCAGTGAATCCATCTGGGCCTGGTGCTTTCTGTTTTGGAATGTTATTAGTTATTGATTCAATTTCTTTAATAGATAGAGGCCTATTCAGATCATTTATTTCTTCTTGTGTGAGTTTTCACAGGTTGTGTCTTTTAAGGAATTGGTCAGTTTCATTTAGGTTATCAAATTTGTGGGCACAGAGTTGTTCATAGGATTCTTTTGTTATCATTTTAATTTCCATGGGATCTATAGTGATGTTCTCTCTTTCACTTTTGATATTAGTAATTTGTGTCCTCTCTCTTTTTCTGTTGGGTGGCCTGCCTAGAGCCTTAACGATTTTATTGATCTTTTCAAGAACCAGCTTTTGGTTTCCTTGATTTTCTCTATTGATTTCCTGTTTTCAATTTCATTGATTTCTGCTCTGATTCTTATTATTTCTTCTGCTTAGTTTGGGTTTAATTTGCTTTTCCTTTTCTAGTGTCCAGTTGGTTGATGGTATTGTTGAGTTCAACTATGTCCTACTGATTTTCTGTTTGCTGGATTTGTTCATTTCTGATAGAGGGGTGTTGAAGTCACCAACTATGATAGTGGATTCATCTCTTTCTCCTTACAGTTGTATCAGTTTTTGGCTCATGTAGTTTGACACTCCATTGTTTTGTGCCTATACATTAAGAATTGTTGTGTCTTCTTGGAGATTTATGTAATATCCGTCTTCATCCCTGATAACTTTCCTTACTTTGAAGTCTGCTCTGTCTGAAATTAGTATAGCTACTCCTGCTTTCTTTTGGTTAGTATTAACATGGTGTGTTTTTCTCCGTTCATTTACTTTTAATCTATATGTGTTATTATATTTAAAGTGGGTTTCTTGTAGACAACATATAGTTGGGTTGTGTTTTCTGATCCACTCTGACAATCTCTGTCTTTTAATTTGTGCATTTAGACCAGTGACGTTCAAAGTGCTTACTGATAGAGTTGGATTAATGGCTACCATATGCCTTATTATTTTTTATTTGTTGCCCTTGCTGTTTGTTCCTATTTTGTCTTCCACTCTTTTTCTGCCTTTCGTGTCTCGTCCTTTTAATACAGTTATGTATAATACTTTGATCTTTTCTTTTTAAATTATAGAAGTGATATTTGCTTATTGCAAAGTAATTCAAAGAGTACAGGAATGTCTAAAGTAAAAAAAGTTACTTAAAAAATAAATGCCTAGGGGGAGCCTTCTGTTGTAGGCTGAGAGGGCAGATGGAAGGGGCGGTGGGGTCAGGGGCTGCCTTGTTCAGCCGGAGGCCTGGGTCTGTTTGAAGGCAGCACTGTGTAGGGGGATGAGATCTGTGCAGCCGGGGCAGTGCCAGGAGAAGGGAATGGGGACGGTGGGTGTGGAAGGACAATTAAACTGCTGAGAAGGACAAGTTAATTTTTATTTCTCTGTTAAGGTCCACTTCCTAAGAGCAACATTATTTTCAGGGGTCAAAGGCCCTTTGTGAGGTGGGAAGGAAATTAAGGAGATATTTAATAAACAGGTACAGCTGAATGTGTATGGGTAAAGTACAGTCCAGTATTTATTTATTTGTCAGTGCTGTTTATAACCTGCTTCTGGCTTAAACAAGGTATTTTGACCCTGATGCCCTGGCTCATTCAGGCCACTTAACACTGTTTACCTTTCACGGGGGTAATGTGTATGAGCAAGTGCTTTTGTGAGGTCTGTAAATAGAATGCACTCTGGGTAAGGTCATTATTGCAGCACAATAGCCAGTATCTGATGGGCCACCACTGCTTTCTTCTGCCCATTCACGAGAGGGGAATGAAATTTACTTGACCCAAATCCATCTAGAGTCTTTGCAGAAGTGGGGTCCTTAAAGTTACTGAGAGCCTTACATTAGGATATGTTCTTTAATTTGGGCGCCTGGCTGGCACTATGTAGGTAGGGACACCGGCAATTCTTGACCCTGCTATGCGTGGGTCTAGAATTGTCTAGATACCAATGCCCAGGCTGCACCCCAGACTAGTTACATCAGATGGGGTCCAGGCCCTGTTATTTTTTAAAGCTCCCCAGGTGATTCCAGTGCGAGTCCAAGGTTGAGAAGTAGTGCCTTCAAGGAAGATTCTGGCTCGTCCTGACCTGCCTCCAGCCTTCTTTGCAGCAGGTGGGGAACAGTTGTGGCTCTTCTCTTATAGAACGTTGAAGTTCAGGGAGAGAGACCTAAATGCGATGAATATAGTTAAATTGTTTTCAAAGTTCTGCATTTCTGGAGTACTGCAAACATTTGATTCAAATGTCACTATATGTATTTTTTAAATTGTCGTAAAGAGTACACAGTCAAAATGTTATACAGCAAATTTTAATGCACTGAAAATAACTAATGAGCTGTCTTCTTGATGACTTTCAGTATAGTAATGAACGCTGTCAACCAGACTGTATCACGTAAATTCACATACTACTTTGATCTGTTATTTGCCCCCTCCTCCCCTACCCCCCTTTTCAGTTTTCCTGCTTCTGCTGCTGAAGGCAAGATGGGGTTCCTTGTAAGATTTTGTTTGGCAGAAAAGGTTCTGCATGTATAGAAGTTTATAAGCCACAGGCCTTTCCTTGTAGGGTCTGTTTTAAAGTCTGCCATTTTGCAGATTAGATCAGCTTGTTTTGAGGCACAGACACCCCCCAGGCTGGGCTTAGAGCTGCGTCCCACTAGTACTTGAGCTGTCCCGGCTGTTCACCAGCTGGAGCCACTTCAGATAGGTTTGCACCGGGGCAGCTGCAACTCTCTTTTGGAAGGGGAGAAGGGAGGCTTTCATGGGAGTGCGAGTGGGCTGCAGCTGTGGGTGGCCCAGAGATGATGGAATGTCCTTGAGCAATCACTGGCCAAACCCGGTCCACTGTGGATCCAGAGCTACACAATGTTCCAGCCAGAAGGGGTCTTAGCTAGCAGCTTTTAATTGAGGACTAATTGTGGACTAAGCCCTGTGCTAGGGGCTTTATAGACGTTATCTTCTTCAGCAATTCTATGAGGCACACATTATTATCCCCATCTAACAGATGAGGAAACTGAGGCTCGGAGAGGTTACGTAACTTATCCAAGGTCGCAGCTAATAAGTGACAAAGCCAGCACTGGCACATGTGCTAGTTCACTCCAAGCCTTCTTATTTATAGATGAAGAGATCAAGCTCCAGAGAGGAAAAGCAACTTGTCCAAGATGACATAGACATTTCCACTTCCTGGAAAAGCTGTGGCTAGAACTCCTTGTCTTTCTGCCACACTGCTGTGCCCGGCTGCAGCAGCCAAGGAGAAGGGCAACAGCAGCCAAGGGGAAGGGCAAAGTGGCGTGCCCCGTCGCACCTTCTCAGTGGCTCACGCACAAGCAGTGTTGTGGTGGCATGGAATGAGAAATTAAACCCACCATATTTCCCCACCCCCTGAAAGTCTGCAAGGGGAGACCATGTTAAGAAGAACGTGGAGAAGTCAGGCAGAGGTGACCCTGGGGAAGCATATCCCAGCCAGAAGGCAGGGGCCGGAGGGCCAAGCAGAGCTGTGATCTCAAGGGCAGCCTGACTTCCTTGTTACCGGTCTGCACTGTCGGTTTCCCCCCAACTATCAGCGTGTGGGCATCTGGGCAGCAGGGATCTGCTTCAGCCCTTCACGTTCATGTTTGTGTGTTCTCAGCTTATAGCTGCAGCCTGCAGGGGCTCTGCTGTACCTCCATTTATGGAGGGAAGAGGAAGTAAGGAATGCGCCTCTGCATGGTGTCCTGGGAGTAGCTACATTGGAAAATAAAGGGTGCAGCACCAAAGAAAGGGCCCCAGGACTCTCTCCTACCAACCTCTAATCAAGAAAGGAGTGTTTAATTTCAGCCAGATTGCAAACTGGCTGCTTTTATTTGTTTTCATCTGAATTTGTGCCAAGGATTCAGCTTTTCCTGCTCATTTTATTAAAAACTTTATAAACAGCATTAATAAATAGATATAAAACTGCCACATAAATGACAAACAGAGACTAAATGAAATTCCCAAGGGTCAGCCGTTGAATAAGTAACAGAACCGTGTCCTTGCACGATCAAATTCCCATATATGCAAATTAGGGACAGTGCTTTACCACAGAGCGTTTTAATTAATATTTATAAATCACAGAGTGCCTCAGAAAGGGCCAATAAGCTATTTGTATTATTATCATGTCCCACAAATAACAAATCCTTTGAAGATTGCTATCTACTTTGCATTTTGATCTGAGAAGTAAGCGAGCATGTTGTGTTTCTCCCCCATAGGTGTGGCGTCAGCACAGCGGCAGGTCGCCGTCCAGGAAGGACCCTTGTACCGCACGGAGGGCTCCCACATCACCATCTGGTGCAACGTGAGTGGCTACCAGGAACCTTCCGAGCAGAATTTCCAGTGGTCCATTTACCTGCCCTCCGCCCCAGAGCGCGAGGTCCAGATCGTCAGCACCATGGACTCTTCCTTCCCTTATGCCATCTACACCCAGCGCGTCCGTAGTGGGAAGATCTATGTGGAGAGAGTCCAGGGGAACTCGGCCTTATTGCACATCACTGATCTCCAGGCCCGGGACGCCGGGGAGTATGAATGCCACACGCCCAACACCGAAGATCGGTACTTTGGAAGTTACAGTGCCAAGATGAACCTAGTGGGTAAGGAGATACTGTTTTCACATGGCCAGTGCCCTGCCTGGGTGTCGTAGTCTGTTCAGGGTGCTCTAACAAATTACCATAGCCTGGGGGCTTAAACGAAAAGCATTTATTTCTCACAGTTCTGGAGGCTGGAAGTTTGAGATCAGGGTGCCAGCGTGGTCGGTTCAGTGAGAGCCCCCTTCTGGGTAGCAGACTGCTGCCTTCTTGTATCCTCACGTGGGAGAGGGAACGAGAAAGCTCTCTGAGGTCCCTTTATAGGGGCACTAATCCCATTCATGAGGGCTCCACCCTCATGACCTAATCACCTCCCAAAGGCCTCATCTCCACATACCATCACACTGGGGATTAGGTTTCAACTTATGAATTTGGGGGGGACATAAACATTCAGTCCATAACACTGAGTCACTTTTTTAGTAGTACAACTTTATTTGACTTAAAAAAAACAATACAACAAAGCTCCCCAAATATTTTAGAGGTCAACAGGTAGCACAAGTGGACAAAGTTTGTGTGTTCCCTTGTAAATAATAGAAGATTGAGGCTGAAACTTAAGAAAGATCTAATGCAGATAGACTTAAGAAAGATCTAATACAGATATTAAGAATTCTGAGAAGTTTAACTGACTCCCTAGCTGGTGAAAGGGGATGTGAAAATGTAATGCAAGGGTGCTTGTGGTTGATAATCTAAAGAAATGACGTGGAAGATGAAGCATGTGATGTCAGCTGGAAGAGGCGGAAACCTCTCGGAAATGACGGGCCTTGGAGGGCTCCGAGACACCTGGGGCTGCTGAATCAGGAAGTAAACGCAGCTGCGGGTCCTTGCTCAGCCCTGGTGTGCATCTGTAGGTTCTTTGGCTCCGTGAGTAAAGAATTGTGCACGAGCTGTCTCCCTTGGCCCTGGTGCTCTCTGAACAATAGAGGGAGCTCGAGGTAGAGGGAGTGGGGAGATTGCAATGTGAACGGTGCTGGGCCACAGTGTTTGTCAAAGTGAAGGGTCAGCAATATCAAGGGTGTTCTGTTTCTCTGCCCAAGTCATACTTTCCAGGCTTAATTGTGATAATAAAAACTGGGCTTGTTGACCCTTCACCCTGGCAAACATTGTGGCCCAATGCCATCCACACGGCATCTCCCCACTCCCTCCTCCTCCAGCTTCCTTTGGTTACTTTTCCCTCTCTGACAATTCCGCATCCAGCAGGGGGCCTGAAGACCCAATCCAGAGATGGGCAGGGAGAAAACACACACTAGTTGTGATTGGGGGTCCTCAATAGTCAGAGAGCAGGTGGTGTTTGTCTCCAGAATAAAATTCTGACCAAGGGGCCACAGGAGAAATCTCTTCACTTGCCTGAATCATCCCTGTACTGTGGCTTTCTTCCAGCATGGACCACTTTGACACATGAATTATATTTAAATTAAGCCTATTAAAAAATTGAGGATTGTGCTGCTTTTCTCTACCAAAAACTTTTTTTTAAAAAACAGCCTTCCTAGATTCCTTGCTGAAGTCAGTTGGGGGAATGCAGAAGGTGGGGTGGCTAGAAGGGAGGAAATGAGGAAGCTGTAGAGAAATGTCAAGCTCCCAGTTCCAGGAACTATTTTCTTTTGAAGATCAGTCAGAAGCCAAGTTAAAATATCTTGAAGCAATACCAAAATGAAGAGCAAAATCTTCTTTGACCTAAAAGAAAATTCTTTTTCCATGGTATTTTCAGGGAGTTCATTTGTACAAAATACAACTCACCTTTTAGCTGAGTGTTATTAAAATACCAAACAGGTCAGTGTAAGTGCCAAAAAATTGCAATCCAAAGCCAAACAGAAACCTCCTTCTGTTTCTGTGCCCTCTGGGGTCACCCGTGGCTGTGCAGCTATTGTGGAAGGCTGTGTGGGGTGGGAGGTTAGCCCCGTGAGTGTAGGATTCTGTGCTTTGTGACTGTGCACTCGGGCCGTTTCTGTGTTGCAGTGATCCCAGATTCTCTGCAGACCACCGCCATACCCCAGACTCTGCACAAGGTGGAGCAGGACCCTCTGGAGCTGACGTGTGAGGTGGCTACGGAGACGTTCCAGCACAGCCACCTTTCTGTGGCCTGGCTCCGGCAGAGAGGTGGCGAGGAGCCGGTGGAGGTCATCTCCCTGAGCCGAGACTTCGTGCTTCACTCCAGCAGCGAATACGCCCAGAGGCAGAGCCTGGGGGAGGTGCGGCTGGACAAGGTGGGGAGCACCACCTTTCGCCTCACCGTCTTCCACCTGCAGCCTTCTGACCAGGGCGAGTTCTACTGTGAGGCCGCCGAGTGGATCCAGGATCCAGATGGCTCGTGGTATGCCATGACCCGAAAGCGTTCCGAGGGAACCGTGGTCAACATCCAGCCCACTGGTCAGTCTCTCTTGTCCCCCTTCTCTACCTGGTGGTGAGGGTTGTCAGACACGGGGGCAGTGTGCAGACTCCTTCTTCAGTGACCTCTAAAAAGCGCCTAGGTTTTCATGAGAAGTTAAAGATGGGCCTGCCTGGGAACCAGAGGAAGCTGAAGGATGTATCAGATCCAGGTATCCTAAGACCTGACCTCCTAGCAAGTCACAGAGAGGAGCCGCAAAGACTGAATCCTCCTTATAGACCTGGTTTCTTTGACCTACACAGAGTTTTACATTTTCTTGAATTACAAATTCATTTTAAAAATTGGGAGATTTCATATAAACCATTGTATCTTATGCCTGGGTTCCCATTAGCCACAGTGGCTGCCCCCTTTGATGACATTGCCTGCTTCAGGTACCAATGCCGTTTCATTTGTAGAAGAAGTTTGAGATTATGAGCCTTCCATCGTAGGTATAAAATTATGAACTAGAGAAATTTTGGCTTAAATTATTATTTTTTATTTTAATAATATTTATTTGATGGTGTTTTATAATTTCCAAAGTGCTTTGTCGCATATCACTTCAGAGCCCCTCAGAAGTTCTTCGAGGTAAGTGGATGATGGGGAAGATGCCGAGTGGGGCCCCAGGAGGTCACAGGGCATGTTGTTGAGGCCAGCCCAGAGAGCGCCAGGTTCCACTGTAAATGCTTTGTCAAGTGAAGGACCTGGAAAGGGGGTTCCCTGAGGAGGCTGAGTGACGCGTTTATAGCTGGGGCAAGACGATGGCAGCACCATGAGCTGGGATGCTCCCTGACTCCTTGTATTATTCTCCCACAGTCTCAGACTGCACTTTCCAGGCCCCCAAGTCCAGTCATGCTCCAGATCAGAGCTGAGAGCTGTGGTTGGCTGCCTTGGCTGGGCTAGGGCAGGCTCTCCATGGGCCTTCAGTCCCCTCGCTTTGTCAGAGGTGGTCATTGTTGCCATCGCTGAGGTGCAGTAAGTGGCCCAAGAGTCTTTCCTTGTGTTGCTGCTTACGTCTGGTGAGGGGCTACAGTTGTCCTGGTGAGTAGAGGTGAGGTTCATGGGAGATGAGCTGGGGAGTCTGAGCTACAGGTGGGGTCCCTTCTTCAGGGCCTGTCTCTTTGCCTCCCTGTGTCATATGCTGCAGTCAGTGGTCTTGGTCTTTGCATAGTTCTTCCTGCACTTGTTCTTCTGTCATCCTAGAGCAGTGTTTCATACTTACCTACCAGTACGGAGTCTTGGGCCTGAACAATATGGATTCCTGAATCAAGCTCCTGGGGTGGGACCTGGGAAGCTGGATTTCCAGTCCACTTCCCAGACGATTCTTCCACTGTGTACGTCTTTTCAGGCACAGCTCTAGAGGTAATAGGGCAGATGTGTTGCTCTGGACGTCTAATGGATGTGAGGGCTTTTACGGGAAGGGTTGGGCTCCTGGACACAGGAAGCACTTTATCTGCTCTGTAAGACCCAGAGCATTTAGCAGCGTCTGGATCTTCCAGTACTAAGAAATCTATGGCAGGCGCTTTATTTCATATTTATCCTTCTCCTTCCTGGATGGTTTTAAGATCAGCTTCAAAAGTCTGGACCAAATTTTGAGTCTTAATGCTGTTAAATTAGGTTGCATCCATTAATCTTCTTTATTTTAATCTTAACAATTTGGAATTAGGACTTTTTGAATTTGGCCAGCAAATGTATCCAGACTGAGCCAGCAAAGGGAAAACAAGATAAAAAAAAGTTGATGACTTCACTCTGCATCCCTGTGCTGTTAGGTTCAGTGGCTGCAGCCCCAACTTGCCCTTCTCTTAGTTCATTTCCGTAAACATTCAGTGAGTCTCTACAGCATTGAAGGTGTGGCGAGAGGCACTGGGGATTCAAAGATGAATAACCCTTGCTCCTGCACTCAGGGAACTTGCAGATGTGAAAGCCAGTGGCTAAGTGCTGTGATACTGTTGTGTATAGAATGCTCTGGGAACACAGTAGGTATAAAGTGTTCTTGCAACAATAGGTTTTCCTGGCTGGGATAGTTAAGGCGCATCCAGGAAAACCAACAAATTTGGTAACTTGAGCCGAGTCTTGAAACTTGAGGAGACATCAGGAGAAGAAGCATGAAGGGACAAAATTGTTTGACATATTTGGAAAGGAGAGAAAAGTCAAGTATGAGTAGATACTGGGTTCCAGATATGAGTGATGACATGAGAAGGGAAATGCTGTGATGTGGAGCTTGGCCTGAGCTCCGTAGACCAAGAGTTTTCAAGCTGTTCTTCTTGGAATCTTAGGAGCCCCATAGAGGAGCCTGGGAGTTGCACGTGTGGGTGGGTGGGTGGGTGTGCGTGTTCAAGCACATGCGTGCATGCCACAGGATGCTGGAGGAAGGCACGTGAGGGCTACAGTGTTCTCCCCTTGCTTCAATTAAACGTTTTCTATATTGGGCAGAAAAAGATTTTATATGAAGAAAGAAGTACCTCCTCCTCTGCCCCCCTCCAAGTAAAGTTTGGAAACTACTGCTGCAGACATTGGGGAGGCAGGGGAATAGAGATTTATAAGCAGGGAGTGACACAATCAGGTCTAGGTTTTAGAAGGAAAAAAATGATGGAGGCCACCTAGAGGTTGATTGAACAGTTTTGGTCTGGAGTCAAGAGACCGGGTAGGAAAAAGCTAATAAGGCCAGGGCTCGGTCAGTGGCAGTGGCCTGGAAAGCAGACAGTGGGTGCTGGAGACAAAAGGATGGAGAGCACCGTGGAAGGAGGACTCCAACTATGGGAGTCCTGAGGCTGGGGCTCTGGGTGAGTCCTTGAACTGTGGCGGGGAGGGAGGGGGAACGGAAGGTAATGAAGATGTGCAGAGTCCTGCTTGAAAGTCTCTGCTTCCCCATTAGTGGCAGCACTGGTTGTCTTTGGTTTTGTTTTTGTAAATTTTAGTCAAGGAGTCCATCCTGCAAGCAGAGTCTTATAGAGACGCTCAGTATGTGAAACACCAAGCGTGTCATTGGACATGGAGCTCAATTAGAGGCTGAACTTGGGAATGATGAGGGCCCAGGAAAAGCCCACGGGGTAAGAATAAGAAAGGGCTGGGAGAACAGTAGTAACAGCAGTCGTAAGAGGTGGTCAGAGGAGCAGGTCCCAGTGAGAGAGAGAAACAGAGTGGTCAGACATGCAAGAGGAGAAGCAGCACGGAAGGTGTCATGGAGCCCGAGGGAGAAGAGCAGGTCCAGAGGGGGAAACCCGCTTGAGAAAAGCCTCTGGTCGTGCTGGGGGCTGGGGGATCATTGGTGACGTTTGCTAGGTCAGTGAAGTGTGGAAGTAGGGCCAGAAGCCAAATTGCAGTGAGCTGAGGAGTGAGGGGGTATTGGAAAAAGCATAAATCAATTTCTAGAGGTTTAATTGACTGAGTATAGCCAAGGGCAAATTGCTATGCAGAAAGGAGGGTGGTATGCTGTAAATCAGGTGTCTTCAACCTGGGAGCTCCAGGCTTTGCCAAGCCACGGGGGATCCCCACGAGATAAGGCAAGTCTTTGGCTGCCAAAAGAAGAAAGCTGCACTTGCATCCAGCCTAACTCTGAGGAAATGGAAAGGTCTGAGGTCTAGGGCATCTTTGTGTATGTCTTCAGTGGCATTTCTGTGGAAAGGGTGCTTTTTTATCATTGATGTTGAGGTATGCATTACTGTAATTTGGTTCATCAGAGAGCCAGCATCTGACAGACAGCGTGGGCACAGTCCCACGTGGGTGAGTTTATCTAGGCAGAGGGTGGCAGAGTAAAACCTGCTTCTGCCAACCCATGTCTCCTAGGACTGGTCTTTGGGGAAAGGGAAACTGAGGCAGCAGCTATCCCATTGGAAGGGAGCCCCTGGCGTGGTTGAGTATAGTTCACTCTGTCAGGAAGTTTGGCTAATAAAGGAAGGAGCTAATTTGCTGGAGAAAATGTGTGTTTGGGACAAGACACTGGCCCCTGTGGGAGGGAAGGAGATGGAGAGCCTGAAGAACAGGTGGCTCCAAAGCCAAGCTTGAACTGGAGAAGGGTAACGTCGAAGCAGCGCACTTGCGATTCCTGTGTTTTCTCAGGGAAATGGGATTCTCATCTGCTTGAAGAGGCACGGGATAGGGGGATGAAAATGGGAAGGGTCTTGAAGATGGTGGAAAAGGCTTGGAAACACCAGTGTAGGGAAGGCAGTCAAGGTTGGAGCTATCGAATCTGCAAGGAATTCAAACATCCCAGTAATGTGATCTTCCCCTCAATGTTCTGTTTAGAGGAATAGAGCTAGAACTGGAAGGAAAAGGGCCTTGGGCAGTGGTTATGGCTACAGCCTGTCTTATCCAAGGCTCTGTGGTTCGTTTTTCCAGGACAAAAAGTTTTCTCCAACCCTTCACTCCTTTGTCTTACCCCCTACTTCTGCTGTGGATGCTTGTGAGATATGATCACTGTCTCATGGGGTTGACAGTCACTGTGTGCCATTACATGGTGTGCGGGACACTGTTCATGGCACTGAGCCCTTCTTTGGTCACCCCCTGATGCCTCATGAACACCCAGCTCTTTGAAGGGTGCTTGGGTTCATTGCCCATTTCAGAGGTCATCTGGCTTTTAGTGGAAGTAGGTCCTTTCCCACTCCATTTTTCTAAGATTTGATCTGACAGGTGGTGGATTAGTGAAAAGACAGTAATTTTCACTTTTTCTATGTAATTTTGTTAGAGGTTGTCTTACCTATGTCTTATTTCACTTGGGGGTAGAGAACGTATTTCAATATTTGTTTTTAGTATTTATTAGGACTGGGTTTAGCACCTAGGCCACTGTATAATTTTGTCTCACAAGCCTCAATGGGGTAAGTCCTACCATGTCTGCTGAAAATATTTGTAATCCTGTTGCTTAAATGGAGTTCTGGGACTAGTGATCAAGGCTAGACCCTTTCAATCTGCCACGTAAGTGATATTAGGAGTGATATTCCTCATTGCCCTCTAGGGGTCTAATCTAGGGCGTTGTAAGCTGCAGACAGAGCCCCATGGGTCTTGACTGGGATAACAAGCCCCTTAGACTAGTCTGGGTCTAGCCACCTTGGAGTTCTCTCTCTGATATTCAGGAGTTTCTCTGGGCCTCAGATACCCAGGTGTGAGTTGGATTTTTCTCTTGAGACAGGGGCGGTGGTACCTGCCCTGTAGTTAGCATTGTAAAGAAGCATGGGTGTTGGAAATTGGCCGATGCAGTTTGGTTTGCTGGGGCCCTCATTCACCCAGAACGCATCTGTGTTATGTTTTCTCAGACAAAGAGTTCACTGTTCGGCTGGAAACGGAGAAGCGGCTGTACACAGTGGGTGACCCGGTGGAGTTCAAATGCATCCTTGAGGCTCAGAACATTCCTGACCGTTACTTTGCTGTCTCCTGGGCCTTCAACAGCTCGCTTATTGCCAGTATGGGGCCTAATGCTGTGCCAGTCCTCAACAGTGAATTCACCCATCGGGAAGCCAAGGGCCAGCTTAAAGTGGCCAAAGAGAGCGACAGTGTCTTTGTGCTGAAGATCTATCACCTCCGCCAGGAAGACAGTGGGAAATACAACTGTCGTGTGACAGAGAGAGAGAAAACAGTCACTGGAGAATTCATTGACAAGGAGAGCAAGCGTCCCAAGAACATCCCCATCATCGTCCTCCCCATCAGTAAGTGGAGAGCTGTGCTGGTTCCTTCTTCTCCTCCCAGTGGTCTGGTTCAATAGCTAGCATCATTTAAGAGAAGTCGAGGGAGAGAAGAAGAGCTAGGGCAGAGGAGAGGGCAGAGGAGGGGAGAGCAGGTGGAACTCAAGGGTTCGGTCAGAGCTTAGCAACCCCTCAGGCAGGCAGAGCATCTGGACTGTGTTTGCAGGCTGGAGAGGGGCCTCGCAGACCTGAGCTCTAGCAGCTCTGTGTAAATGCCAGCAGTGCCAGCTCAGCTTGGAGGAAAACCAGGAATCCATGACAGCTGTTTGCTTTTGTGTGGGAATTAAGTCCCAGAAGAAGTGGGTAGATGCCTATCTTGAAATCTCACTTAAGAGAATTGGTCTTTTATGGGCAGATTTTAAATCATCGAGCACGTTACTGAGAAGGATTTGCTGTCTGGGTTTTTGGGGTATAGAGGTTGGCATTTCCCTAATTGTCTCTTCCCTATTGAAATTGTGTTTTTGAAAGTCAGTAGGTGGGACCCCTCACGTCTTCCGGAGCATAGACTTGTAAAGCTTAGCCGATTGCCTAGGCTGCTTAGGTGGGCTCCTGGCCTCCACGTAAGCTGGCTACCGTTGTCTGGGTGGGTGACGGTCATGGCTGGGGCTACCTGTGTTTGCTCATATTGTGTTAATCATCCATAGATTCAGGATGTTCTCATTAATATCTCCTTTCTCTCATAGTTCTGTTTTTAGTAAAAAGAGAATTAAAGTTTGTAATGCCCTGATTTTAAACAAGAGGGTGAAGTTTTTAAACTAACCTTTAACCTTTCTCAACTGCTCAAACTGTTCTTTCTCTTAGCCTTGTAATAATTCCCTTTACATTTTTATTTACACTTTTACATTTTTAATATAGTTCTCTTCAAGTGTGAAGACAAAAATAGACATGGGTCTTGCCACTCTTTTTTCTCACCAACAGGATTACTTTCTTTCATCCTTTTTTTTTTTTTTTAATTTCATACACACACCTAATTATCTTGACCCTCTTTTGTTTCTTAGACTTTTCCCCCTGCAATGCCTAGCATGGTGCTTTGCATAGGATAGGTGCTTGCTGAATATTTCTAGAATTAAAATTGTTGACTTGAATGCCCACTCTCTTTACTATTTTCCTGTTGGTCTGTGCTTGCCATAACCACGGACTCTCTACTTTTAAATCTGCAACTAATTCCTCATTGTTTTGTAAGGATCCAGTGAAGGGCAGCCACACTGTTTATTTCCTCTGTCTTATGTACTAAGCGATTTCCCCCACCCCCTTCCAAGAACTTGTTTGATGATCTGTGGCCTGCTATATTGCTTTTCCAGCAGATAACTGGGTAGTTAAAGTCCCCCAGCACCACCAGATCCTGCCCCAAGGCCACTTGGGTAAGTCTACTGAAGAACAGCAATGATCACGTCGGTGATGGTGATTTTACCTGAGATTTTAATGGCGCTTTTCCTCCCAAGAGCCCTAAGTGCTTCTGCATATATCATCTCCTTCTCTGCCCCAACCCCTCAGATCCCCAGAGAGGCCAATATTATCTCCATACTACCAATGAAGAAGCCAGAGCACCATAGAGAGAAGGGGCTGAGCTGGTTCCATTAGTGGTCGAGCTTGCATCGCATTAGAAATATTTGCTTCTAACTCCGAATCCACTGCTCTGCGCTTAGCCTGTGCTACATCATCAGCCTCCTAATTTGAAATTTCATTTGTGAACATGTCCTCAGATTCTCATTAGTTCTGTCCTAGTTTTCACTTAATCCAGAGTTTTAAATTGTCAGCTGCCTTTTCTCAGGCCTGAGCACACTTGTAAATAGTCTTAGCGGGCAGTACAGCTCTGTGTCTGTATTTGCCTTTGCCTGGGCTGGCAGAATGGTTTTTCTTCACCTAGTTCCACATTCTAACTGTGCAGGTTTTCCAGGCTTGCTTGAGCCACAGAACACCAAACAGCAGCCCTGGTAGTAAACAGGCCAGGGCTTGTATAAGAGTCCACTGGTGTGACAGTAGGGGATGGGAGGGATGCCCTCCAAGTCATTCTTCTGCTTAAGGCAAGCAAAGGGATTTTGTGCCTTGATACTGAAGTTGTCCTTTTAATCCCTTACTTTGAATTGATAACAGTGGGGATATAAATCTTTAATCTAAAGAGCAATATTGTTATTATTAAAGATGATGATGAAAAATAATTACCTCATCTGATACTCAGTGTCGTGACCCTAAGAAGTAGGAACCATTAGTATCTCCATTTTGCACATGAAAAGTTGAAGCTTGGGTAGGTGAAGTAAGAAGCCCAAGACTCAGAGTTAGGAAGTAGTAGACCTGGGCCTCGAGCCCTCTGCTTGCCTCCAGATCCATGTTCTTAGCCACTCATGCTGTGGATGGTGGCTTGTCAGGAACCTCATCATCTCCATGAAGCATCTTGATGTGGCTCGGGGGAGGTCACCCTACTGGGAAAATTCCTATTCCCCACCTTGTCCAGACCCCTTTTCTCATGTGAAACAAGCCCATCCAGAATGGGTAGCAGGTGTACGCACCACGACAAGGGCTACACGCTGGGGCTCTCTGCTCATCTTTGCCTGTGTCTGCCTGTGGGGAAAATACAGGGGAGAAATTCATGGATTGATTCAAATGCATGGTTATTTCCCCTCAGTAGTTGGGTATGCCTCTTAATGTTGGATTTGATTTAATTGATTGATTTAAAATTGTTGTATGCATTTCATGTGGGTGTTGCCCAGAAAATTAGAGCCAAATTAGTTATGGTACTTTGTGTTCTTTAATACTTTATACTCTTACTTAATAAAGTATTTAATACTTTAATACTCAATATAGATACTTATACAAAATAATATATGCATAATTAAGATAGATTAGAATATTCATGATGTTTATAAAAACCAAGAGTTATTGGGAATAGTAAAATTAATCATGATCGTGATTGATAATTAATCAATTTTTGAAAACCTGCTATGTGTTAGGTGATTTATATATATTGTCTCCTTTACTTTTTAAACTTTAAAAAAAACTGTGCAATATAAATAATACTCTCTCTGTCTTACAGAAGGCGGCATGTAGAGTTTAAGTAATTTGAGTGAGTGAGTTCATGTAGCTCAGTGAGTAGCAGAGGCTACACTGAGTCAGCCAGGGGAGTGGAATCCTTATCCTAAACTTTGATTGGCAGGATGTTTCAAGGTTGAGAACAGTGGAACCCCAGAGCTGACTGTGGACAGGCACGATGGCGAGCCAGTGGCTTTGGTGTAGTCCTCTGTGTTAGTGAAAGTATGAGAGCTCGCTGCCCACACACTGAAACTAGACCGTCTGTGTTCCATTGTTATCCACACCCAAGCACATGTTATCTTCCAAATACTTCTGTCTTTTTTTTTTTTTTTCTACTTCCTAATATTGCCCTGAAGGACTCACATGGCGTGTTATAGATGTTCAGCTTTTATTTGACTGTTGTAGTGCCGAATGGTGGTAAGATGGAGGTGAAGTAGAATTTTTGAGTTATTCAACTTACTGAAAATCCAAGTTGAAGATCTCTGAACCCTAACTGAACAGATTACCCGATAAATTGTTTTATGCTCTAAGCGAAATGTCACTGTGTTTTATTTCTTAGGTTCTGATTCAGTCTCAGGTCTTAGACCCTCATTATTCTAGTCCTCTGCACACAGCAAAGGGCCTCCTAGGTTATTAGAGCTAAAATCATGGGGAGCAATGCCCAGCACCAGCCAGGGCTTGCAGCAGCAAGTGTCAGATTGCTTTTATCCTCCGAGGTTCACTGTGCCTGAATAGGGTGACATTTGCACCCATCCTCCTTGTACATCTGTGGGGATGGCGTAGTGGAGACCAGAAAGCCCCAGCATGGCACTTTCTCCTTTTCCCAGAGAGCAGCATCTCCGTGGAGGTGGCCAGCAATGCCAGCGTCATCCTTGAGGGTGAGAACCTGCACTTCTCCTGCAGCATCCGCACGGCAGGCAGGCCACAGGGCCGCTTCTCTGTCATCTGGCAGCTCGTGGACAGGCAGAACCGCCGCAGCAACATCATGTGGCTAGACCGGGACGGCACCATGCAGCCAGGCGCTTCCTACTGGGAGCGCAGCAGCTTTGGGGGCGTCCAGATGGAGCAGGTGCAGCCCAACTCATTCAGCCTGGGCGTCTTCAACAGCAGGAAGGAGGACGAGGGCCAGTACGAATGCCATGTGACTGAATGGGTGCGGGCCGTGGATGGCGAGTGGCAGATCGTGGGGGAGCGCCGGGCCAGCACCCCCATCTCCATCACGGCTCTCGGTGAGTAAGCATCTGGCAGTCTTTTGGTGAGACTGTTAGGGAGCTTGCTCCCAAGTCAAGAACCTTACCCTGACTTTTATCAGTCAGAGTCCTGGCAGGAAACATTTGGCACCTTCCAAAGGGTTTAATTGAAGGAACCCTTTATGGACATGCAATTGGGGTTGAAGGAACCAGCAATGCATGGTGGGGCCCCTAGGGATGGGCTACAGCTGGGAGCTGTTACTACTCTTGGGTCTGAGTGGTGGGAGTGAAGTTATAAGAATTCTGGCCAGGGGATCGAGACCACTCAGCAGTGCGGTGGCCCCAAGTAGAGGAATGTGGTCCTTGCCAAAACTGGCGGGGAAGAGTGGGAGCGAAGCCTCTCTCTCCTGTACCCACACGCTTTCCTGCCCCCCAGGCTCTCCTGCCCTGCTTCCCAGGGGCTCAGCCCTCCTGAAAAGCTCACAGCAGGCAGAGGAGGGTAGAAAATCACCTTTGCCATTTATTTAGCATTTACTGTGCTCCTGGCTGAGTCTAAGCCCTGAAACTTAATTGTCCCTTTGAATCCTTACCTAGCCAAGAGGTAGACACCTTCATTTTACCAGAAGACTGAGTGAGACAGGTTAACTGATTTGGCCAGAGCTACAGCTTTTTTTTGTGTGTGTGTGTGTGTGTGTGTGAGGAAGATTGGCCCTGAGCTAACATCTGCCAATCCTCCTCTCTTTTTTGCTGAGAAAGACTAGCCCTGGGCTAACATCCATGCCCCTCTTCCTCCACTTTATATGGGATACCACTACAGCATGGCTTGCCAAGTGGTGTGTCGGTGTGCGCCCGGGATCCTAACCAGCGAAACCCGGGCCACCGCAGCGGAGCGCGTGCACTTAACTGCTTGCACCACCGGGCCGGCCCCCAGAGCTACAGCTTTTAAACGACAGACTCACAATCTGAACCCAGGAAACCCGCCATCTATCTAAATTTTTTTTTCAAAGCTTGTGTTTTTATCTCCTCTGTAAGGCCCCTCTTTAAGAAAGCCATCTCCTCATTAGCATGATATTAAAAGATACCTTGAGATTTGCTAAAACCAAAGAATATTAGATTTGCTTCTCATGAGGTAGTTACAGAGGCTTCTATCAACATTTATCTGCCTAATATGGTCAGTATATTAAATTTTAAAAGGCCAGTCTGCTACTTTGCTGGGTAGGTAACTTGTCATGTTGGGTCTTCCTGTTTATCAGGAGACTGACATCAGTTGTCCTCGGGGACTGTGTATCCCAATCCCTGGACCATGTTCCCCACCTTCCTTGTAGGTAGGGCTGGTGGTGCTTTTGGACACACCCCAGTAAAGATGGCAGCCCCGAGTGATTTTGCCCTCAACAAAGTCCTCTATCCCCACCCACCCCCTTACCGAGATTAGAATTACATTTGCTTTCTAAAAGCTTCATCCCAAAGATTGACCTGCTTTCTGTGTAATCATACAGCTCAGATTTCCACCCCTCGAAACTTCATCTAGTGGTTGAGTTTCTGATCAGCTCAATTCCTGAGCCTGTGCTCACACCAGTGTGGACCTGTGGACATGGAACCTGTGAGCAGAGTTCCGGGTGTCCAACAGTGGTAGTGTTTCCCATCCTGTGAGGTTGGGAATGTCCAAGGAGTGGTTAGAGTTAGTCAGGATTGTTTCTCTAGAAGTAATTTTACGGTATCAGGTTATCCCCTGAATTTTTTCATACCGTGTCTGTAGTTCCCACAGCCAGGGGTTACCAAAGAGCTCTGACCTGGGATCCCAGGGCCTGGCTCTGCTCACCTGTTCTCCACCCCTGGGGCGTCTCTGGCTCAAGCCATAATCAGGGTGGCCCAAGGGGTGGAACAGGGAAGAGTGGGAGGACACCTTGGAGTAAAGTCACCTTTCAGTCTAAACAATGACATGCAAATTTACATAGTGGTACAGTTAGGGTACAGATCCCCTCCCAGCAGGGAGGTGACAGTGACAGGTGCTCAGGTGAGATAATAGGTGGGTATGTCCTCCAGTTGCATGTGGACCATTATGACCATTCAGTCAGGGTAACTTGGGTGCTCTGTGTGCTATGGTCATGGCATGTGCTGTGTCCGGCCTGGACAGAATCACTTGCTTGGAGAAGCTCTCTCCACTTCAGACGTTGAGGCCAAGAACACCTGGTGCAGGTCCTGTCCCCCAGGTCCTGTGCTCCACCACCCTCACGGCAACACATTCTCCACCCAGGTGCACAAGTGACCATCACAACCACTTAATGTTTAAGGATGGGCCTCTGTGTCTTAACTTTTTCTTTTTAAGGATACATAAAGATAGTTTTTGAAATCGAAATTGAAGATCCAGAGTTTTCAGCAAATTATGCCTACTTATTTGCTGACTTAACCTCCGCGTATAAAGCCAAAAGATTCATTCTGTGCCTAGGCTTGTACCTACAGAGTTTAAAGTACTTTCCTTCACCTCTATTTGTTTCTCTAACAAACTTACATATTTAACAAGATATAGTATATACTTTGTGCCAGGTACTATTCCAAGTATTTTACAATACTAACTCATTTAATCTTCACAAGGACCCATTGGACAGATGGGGAAATAGAGGGAGAGAGAAGTTAAGTAACTTGCTCAACGTCACACAACTAGAAAGTATCCAAGCTGGGCTTCTGGCTCCAGAGTCTATGCCTTTAACTACTGCCTTATGCTTCCCGGGGGTGAAGGAACCGAGTAAGGCCCCTAGAGTCAGTTACATGCAGGTTTGTAGCCTGACTCTGCCATTTACTAGCAGCTTGTTAGCGGGCATTTATTTAACCTCTCTGTGCCTCAGTTTCCTCATCTGTAAGAAAGGGATGGTAAGCCCACCTGTCCTACAAGGTCATTTTGAGGACTCAGTGAAGCGCAGTGAAAGCAGAGCCGTTGGCGCCATGCCTGGCACAGCGATAGTGCTCAGTAAATACTGACCGCTCAGGTTTAGGATTATAACCCGTGTGTTAATACTAAGTAGTATTTCAAGGCTGAAGGACATCTGATTGCTCATATTGAGGAGTCAGTGTTAGGAATTAGTGATGCTGCCCGTTCAGTAAGGAATATTGAGAAACTCACAGCCTGCTGTGACTGCGGAACCCCACCTTGCCCCATGTCCCCACCTGCTCGAGATCAGTCCCTCCTGCTGTGGGTCCCTCACTGCCTCTCTTGCCTGGATTTCATGAGGAAAGTGGAAAAGGACTGGTGAGCAAGCCCACACTGCCCATCCCAGGGAACACGGGATGCCTCCTCCATCCGCCTCCCCCTTCTCCAGCACCCACGTGCTGGTAGGTCAGGCAGAGGAGGTGTCGGGGCTGTGGGGATGTGTCCATCTCACACAGATGAAGGAAATTGGCTTTGGGGCTTTTTTCTGCTGTCTTAGCATGGCATCCCAAGATTTCTAGGAATGGCCTTGCCTACATGTACTCAGTCCCTGAGAGGGGGACTGATGGGATGCCAATTGACATGAGGGTCTCATTGGGAAGGGTTGGCTAGTGCTGCTTAAGGAGAATTGCCGCTGGTGGCTTTCTCAGGGTCCTGTGAACTGTTGGGTTTGTGCCTCAACATGATAGCTAAAGTAATATTGGCCTGGGCATGAAGAGAGGCCCATGAGCCTTGGCTCTGCTCCGCTAGCTTTTGCCAGGAGCCCCATCGCCGTGTCACTGTCCTCTGAAAGCCAAGTGTCTCCTCTGGCTTGAGTCTCTCTGCTCTCTCCCCAGAAATGGGCTTCGCGGTCACAGCCATCTCCCGCACGCCGGGGGTGACCTACAGCGACTCCTTTGACTTGCAGTGCATCATCAAACCCCATTACCCAGCCCGGGTCCCCGTGTCAGTGACGTGGCGGTTCCAGCCGGTGGGCACTGTCGAGTTCCATGACCTGGTGACCTTCACCCGGGATGGAGGGGTCCAGTGGGGGGATAGGTCCTCCAGCTTCCGAACCCGAACCGCCATCGAGAAGGCTGAGTCCAGCAACAACGTCCGCCTGAGCATCAGCCGAGCCAGTGACACAGAGGCGGGCAAGTACCAGTGTGTGGCAGAGCTGTGGCGGAGGAACTACAACAACACCTGGACACGGCTGGCCGAAAGGACCTCCAACCTGCTGGAGATCAGGGTGCTGCAGCCAGGTGAGGGGCTCGGGGTCACGTGTGCTTGCTCTGGACGATGAGACGCGCGGGGAGGGGAGAAGTGAGCATTGAGCCCTGGGCATGGCTGCTTTCATTTCTCAACTTTTTAGTCTGAGAAATTTCAAATTTATAAAGTTGTAAGAATCATAGTCCGTTTTCTTGATGGCCGGTTGTTAACATCTTACCGTATTTGTTTTCTCTCTCCGTGTGTATTGTTTTGTTGTTTTTGAAGCTTTGGAGGGTAAGTTGCAGAGGTCAGGACTCTCCCGCCTAGATACTTCAGTGAATATCTCCAAAGAACAAGGGCATTCTCCTACCCAACTGCACACCGTGATCAGACTCGGGGAATTTAATGTGATTATAGGACATTATCATCGTTTCCCCAATTGTCCCAACAATGCTCATTTTATAGTTTTTTTTTCTTCCAAGTCAGGATCCAATTGGGGAATCACACATCATTTTTAGTTATCATGTCTCTTTAAGTTCCTTTAATCTAGAACAGTTCCCCAGCCATGTGTGTGCATGTGTGTGTGCGTGTGTGTGTGTAAAGATGACATTTGTGAGGTGTCCAGGCTGTTTTGTGAAAGCTCTATCTCTTTACTTAGTATCATCTCCTATAATCCTTGTAGCAGTGATGTGAAGGAGGTACCATTGTCCTCTGTTTGCAGACAAGGAACCTCGGAGGGAAGAGGGAAGATAATGGGCATATATTGAGCATCTGCTTTGTACTAGGTGCTTAGGGTCGGTTATTTTATTAGAATTTCACAACAACCGCAGGAAAGATGAAGTGACTAGCCCAGGGTCACATAGCTGGTAAATGGTGGAGCCAGGGTTTGAAATCTTGTCCATCTTTCTCCCACGCTATTTCCCTGACCCAGGACCTGTCCTCGTGTGCCGAGTTAGAGCTCCCTTCTCCTGTGGAGACTTTCTCTTTCACAGCAGGTGGTAGGGATGCACTAATCTGGGGAGCCCTAGTCAGGAGAGCTGTCTGCAAACACTTTCACCTTCATCAGGCCCTTCCCGTGACACGGGGGGTGGTTAAGTACGTGCTGTTCTATGGTTTCCTCGGTGTCTGTCCCCGTCTCCTGCAGTTGGAAGCTGGTGGAGGGTGGAGCCCAGGCCATGGGTCCTGCTTCCCTCCGGTTGCCCGGCCCCTGAACATAGGTCCCCATGCAGCAAAGGGTGGAGGTTGGATGTGAGGTGACTTCGCAAAGACTTTTTTCTGACTTTCTGACCCACCCACTTTGCGAAGATGGTTTGAACATCTTGCAAAAAGGATTTTCTGCCCGCTCACAGCCATGGTCAGTGCCCAACCTGCTCTGCTCAACCGTTCCAACTGAGCACAATGTTGTTTTCAGCAATGGGAGGTTACATAATGTTAATGCCTGAGTTTATCCTTCGCCTCTTCTAACCCTGTATCAGAGTTCTGTTCTGTACCAGAGTTTGGAACGAGTGAGCTATATAAATGATGGGATGGTTCCTTGGCCAATTAGAGCCTAAACCTAGACAATAAGATGCTCAGGGAAAAGGCTGTTTTGCTTAAGTGGATTTTCAGGTTAATGGAGGGTTAAGCAGAGACCCCATTTTGTGCAAACCCTTGTTGTGGAAAATGCTGGGGGACCCGCTTGCTTGCCTTATTGAGAAGAACATCGTGCCCGTAATTGCAACTTTCGTGGTTTCGTCTAGTCCTCGAAGTCGGCGTGGTGAGCCATGGCGCCCATCACGTGGTTCTGCAGCTGTAGCAAGTGAGGAAGTACTGACCCCAGGACCTTGCCTGACATTGCCTTTTGGAATAAATCCCTAATACTTGCTTGTTTCTGTTACTACTTGGAATCTAAGGCTGGAGTGCTTAAAGGAAGAATAAGGAATTCGTTCATGGAAGGTTCAAGTTGTTTGGATTCTGATTAATTTCTGGTGTTACTAAAGGGGGAAAAGAGACAAAAACGTGTTGAGTACCTCTTGGGTGCCAGGCTCTGTGCTTAGTACTTATGTTTTCTTTTTAAATTCATCTGACAATGAAATTTTGTAGATATTTGTATCCTGGTTTTGGTCTCCCCATGAGGAAACCAATACACAGAGTGTTTAGGAGTCTTGATGGAGGCAAACCATCTTGGTAAGGGGAAAACTGAGGTTGGACCTGCGACTGGTGCCCATGTCTCTCTCACTCCCGTATGTCTCCATTTTCCATTATACTATTTTATTGCCTCCTGGGTAGAAAAAGCAGCTGGAGAGTTCGGCGATGCAGGATCTGCCCTGAGGACTGTCTTGTGTCTTGTGTGGCTTACTCTGCGTCGTTTTGCTTGTGTTTTCACTGTAAAGCAAGAACAAACAGCGGCCGGCATGGGAGGCCTGGTAGCGGCGTGGTGCTTGGGTGCTGTGAGGCCTCGGCTCAGGGGTGCACAGTAATGCGCTTTCATGGCCTCTGAAGGCTGCAGAGGGCAAAGGCAGGCGCTGGGGCCGCACGACTCCCAGGGAGTGGCTGGGGCACCAGGGGGAGTGCATCCCCTTAAGTGTTACTGTCTCTGCTTTATTAAATATTTATGCATTTAGCACTTAATATTTTCCAAAGAGCTTGTTGATTGTTACTCTCCCTCCGCCCTCCACTGTGGTGCTTTCATTTTGGGGACGTGGAAGTGGAAAAATACCAGCGGGCTGACTCGGTGCTGGAGACTGTTTCAGACCCTTGGTGTTTGTCATCTCACTTTATTTTTGCTGCAACCCTGGGAGGAAGGTACTGCTCTCCCACTTTACAAATGAGGTAACTGAGGCTCAGAGAGGTTCTGATTTGCCCAAGTCAGATGAATAGTGAGTGGGAGATTGGGATTTGGGCCCTGGTGTGCCTTATTAAAAAGCAGTTGGGGTGGTGAAGGGAGACTTGGACCTTTTTTGAGACCATATAATGAGAAATTATTCTTTCTGCATTCAGTTAGTCTCACTTACAGAAGAGGTTTCTCTGTAGATGGCTGATGTGGAGGAGTCTTAGCCCTGGTGGTGATCGTAGTAACAATAGCAGCTAATATTTATTGAGCATCCTTCCTGCCATCACCATCCTGATGCTTTACATGTAATCACTGACCTAGTTCTTACTTAATCCATGCAATGCTGTGAGGGGGTACTGACCCACCCATTTTACAGATGAGGACACTGACACAGAGGTTAAGTAGATTATCCAGTGATCTGTAATAAGTGGCAGAGCCAAGATTCCAATCCAGACAGGCAGTCTGAGTCCAGAGTCCAAGCTCTTAATTTTAATATATTTTGGTATTTTCTAGACATTTATTTATTTTTCTTCTCAGGAATCCTCTTTGGTACTAGGAACTTATATTTAATCTCTCCTCTCTATGGTTTACCATCCCTGATTTCCTGGTCCCCTTTAGCAGATACTTACATTTGGTTTTGTAAGTTGGAGTCAGGTACCTGTAGAGGTTTCTCAAGACACAGTTTGCTAATGGCGTAGGAGTTTTATTCGTGCCTCCTCTAACTCCTCTGTTCTTCTAACCTCTGCCACAAGAGGGCTCTAAGCCTTGGGGACGAGCAGAACTCAAAACCAGTGCTGGCTTCTCTTCTTTCTACTCTCCCTCCATACCTTGCCCCTCAAAACATGGATTTTTATGCCTGCTCTGCTGTTTTCCATAGGAACGTCCCCTACTGCCTGCCCCCCTCTTTAAGAGTATTTTGTCAAATATTCTTATTCCAGCAGAATCAAATAGAAACCCAGGGGCTGTTGGCTCACTCATGTGAGTGATAAATGGCTGATCCATTTATCAGCCTTCCACTGCTGATGTCATCTGCTCCCACGAGGGCTCTGTGTGGTCTGTGCCCCAGACCAGCCCTTGCCAGAGCCACTTGCTGACCTGACCACATCATGGGTATTTGATTCATTAAACTCTCTGGCTGGGTGGCGCAGGCTAGTGACTTGTTGTGGATCTGTTACTGGCCATTCTATATGTGTGCTTCCTGTTCCGTGTGCACATCCCCAAGGAATCGGCAAGGAATGCCATCACTCCCATTCTGTTGTTGATTTAGCTCAGCCTTACTCGCATTGATCGCAGAGTGTGACCCCCAAGGGGCATGTAGACAAGACTTTAAGCCAGTTCAACATATTTGATTTTTTGCTCTTAATCAGTTCTTTTCTCTTTAATTTTGAGACATTGCTTTGCTTCCTTCTGATTTTCTTTAGCACCAAAACACCCTCCAATTACGTATCCCTAAATATAGGAGCAATAAGGGAAATGTCGGCACTCATTTTCCCAATGTTTACGACCGTATCTTGGTCTGGCTATGAAATATTGCACATTAAAATTGACAAGCAATAAACAAGCTTCCAGGAGGACAGCCTCCGGTGTAGAGAGCCGACTTGTCAGTGGGTGTATTCTGCTGGGATTTTACTGATGGGTAGGCAGGATAAATATTTAATACCCTCTGGATGCTGCCAAATCCGTTTTCTCCAATTTCTTAGTGCTGACCTGGCAGATTGGGAGAGCTGAGGGCTTTTTCTTTGACTTCCATGAGTCCAGGGCATGTGACAGTGGATCTCCTTGTCACAGTCTAGTAGGTGACAGGCTACCCCATCCTTCAGAGGGATTGGTCCCTGCTTTCTTTAGGAGAAACTGAGGGTCTCTTTCCATCCCATCTGCGTGTGGCTTCTGCCTGCTTGGTGCTCAGAGGTAGAGTGATGGTGAGTGCAAGAGCCCCTGAGGGGTCCCCGCCCTCCCCCCACCAGGCCTTGGTGTCATGGTGACACCAGGTGCACCTGTTTGGAGTTAATGAGCAGGAGTCACTGCTCTGTCTGCAGACAGGTGAGGCCAACAGGGCATGTCTAGATTACTCCTAATTAGCTGTTCCTCCCTTTAAACTTTTGCTACTTTCTCCTTACTCCTCCCTCCCAGTGCCTTCTGCAAGCACGTCTGAGCACCTACTGTATGCCAGTTTCTGTGCCTTCTGCAAGCATGTCTGAGCATCTACTGTGTGCCAGTTTCTGTGCTGGGTGCTGTGGCTGC